TTTTGAAACCAAGTGTTTTAAAGTACAAAGGAACAATGTTGAATTAGATAGACATGCCAGAAAGTAGTGAAAGCCCAAAGATGGCAAACTCTTTGAATGTAAAGACAAGGAAATCCTGGAAACATAATGACAGTGGATATTTTGGCTAACCCAGGCTAGGTAAGCTGGAGGAGAATGACAGAGCAGGAGAATTGCAGGCAGGGACTCTTTCCCATTGCACAGCTAACCCCATATCCTAGTCTGAGTTCCAGGTTTCAGAGAATGGGTTTATAAGGGGTACAATACATCAAGACAGCAATTCTCCCTTCTCATCCATTTCTGTTCCAGCCCCAGGTGTAAGGTGTCCAGGTGAAAGCTCTTCCTCCTGCCCAAGCAGGGGATAATACTAGAAAACCCTGGCTAAGCATATTTTCACTACATCCCATAAAGAAAAATGTTGGGCATGAATGCTTAAACAGCAGCTGAAGTTCATCCATGAACCAAATTAAAATCTCAGAGAAGTGTGAGGAATTGGGGTTTCAGGGACAAGATTGTGAAACAGCCCATGAAAGTGAGCATCCTCCTGTAATTGTAGAAGTTCAAGAAGAACTCTGTATGTAGGTCAAAGCCAGCTCATGCTGTAATGTGACAGATGAGAAGTGGAAGATGTCATCAAATGCCTCCAAAATCAGGAGTATCTGTTTACACACCACCTTACTTAAAATATTCGTTTCTAAGAACAGTCTGGTGTCTCACAGGACAGTATTTCAAAGGCTGCTAAAAACATGACTTGAAGATCAAAAACACTTAAAATTAAAATTAAGTTTTGCAATGGTAGATATGTATTGGAGTAGGAATTCATCCTTGTTCACTAGTCTGTTCAAGAGTGGATGCCACAGGAGTGGTCACTCTACTCAGCACAGCCTCCACAGTGAATTGTCAGAAGAGTTCACAGAATATTCTTTATAAGTGATTTTTGTGTTTTATACCGACCCCAGAGACTGCCTACAGCAGACAAAAAAATTCTTCTCTATAGATAATTTTTCATTTCCWAAATGGATTCCAAAGGCTATTTTTATTTCAGAAAGATTTTGGGCTTCATTATTATTTCTGTATGGAATGATGGCAAAGTGCCTAAAATGCTGATATACAAGAACTTTCTCATGAATCCCTAGTGCAGGTCCCCTAACCTGCAAGAGGAAAACAAATCATTATTTTTCTTTCTCCAGTTGGTACCACAATTTTTTTTTTTTTACACAGCCATGACACGTGAACAGCTGCAAAAAGTGTTTGTTCTCCAGTTACATCAGAAAGTGTTCTTCCACTGTTACCTAGGAATAACTTCTACTGCATCCAAAAAGTAGAGACACTGATGTACTTTCAGATTATCAAAATCAAAGCATCCCGGTCCGTGCTAAGAAGAACTGCAGTCAGATATAAACTCTTTCTGCAAGCACAATGACAGAAAGAGGAATACTAATGAATACTTTGGAACATGTGAAGCCTTTTCTGGCTCATTGAGTACCCAAAGGACAGCAAGTCATAATTAAAGCCAATAATGGCAACTCCAGACAGCCATCCAAATAGTTTCCTTGTGCTGTCAATTCACCATTTCATATTATCTCACATCATACTTAAGTAGTGTAGAGCACACAGGCATCAGAAGAAAGAATTCCAGCATGACTGAGTACAACCAATAAGTAAATCCAATTATGCTTAACTAAAATTTGTTTGTTGTGTTCACAAGGGTTTGCGTTTATTATCCAAATATTTTTTAAGGAACAGGGCTTTTATTCACCAAATAATTTGTGTCAGCTTTGAAAATGTTTTAATGTTTAAATACTTAATTTGTTGGAGTGAGGCCATGTATTCTTCATGTGAAGAGGGAACATAATTTGTTCATGAGGTAAAGAACTTTGCTATGTAAAAGCCTGTTTTACTACACGTTATGTACACTCGTCAAAATGCTTGATAATGTCTCCAAATGAAAAACAAATGGTCCCACTAAGACTAGAATCAATGTTAATGGTTTGATAAGACTGGAGTGTTTTGCATGCAACATTCCCAGCAAACACAACAGCAGTGAGGAGGCCAAAAGAATTTTTTTGGTTTTTTTTTTATTCTGTGATAACTTTTACAGAATATTTAACAAGACCTCCTTGAGTCTCTCATCCACTTATATAATCCTGGGGTTTTCCAAAGTCAGGAAAGAT